CTTCATAGGAAGTTGTGCGATAAGAGATAACTTCGTGTGGGAGACATTAACTATGCTACCTTCACTGCTCGCGCTATCTCAATGGTAGAACCCTATCATTTAGAAAAAGTGGCGTTTTTTTCAAAATTGTCCTATGTTTTCCCAAAAAAAGGAGTGATGGTTACAATTGATTCCTTTTCAATCTCGCTCGATTATTGCATTCGTTTAAGAGTCTGAGAAATTCTAGGGGTTTTTTAAATTCCTGAGGAAGCATTCTAAAGCTTTCATAAAAATTAGTTGTTTTTCTCTCTGATGATATAATCTGCAACAGATATTGTTGAATGACCATCTCACAAACGAAGACAAGTAAGCCTTTATTAAAATCAAAACACCAACACCTTTGCTATACCATTAACGTGAAATCAAACGCTATATAAAATCTTGAAGAGATATCTGTCTTGGAATAGTGTCATACAACATAGCAGAAATACAAAACAAGGAGCAAGAAAGAAACATCATCAACAGAACAGCCGCCGGAGAAAGAATCGTCATCATAAAACAAATCTGGGAAGCACGACGTGAGAGATGAGTCAAGAAGAATAGACTATAGCATTTACACTGTTAAATGCACAGCTACACATCCTGACAAGGGATTCACTCCTCTAACTGTCGTACTCTGCGACAGCGTTAGGAGAAAAAGAGATGGGGATTGGGGAATACCGCGATCACCTACTGATCGGTCTTATAGTCAATAATTTACAAGAGATGAACAAGCTGCTGAGATCTTAGCAGAATTCGATCTTACAATACGTATCTTACAGGCAAATGGTAGAACAGTACTGACGCAACGTCCATTGCTTCAATGCCAACGCTGCTAAGTATTGATAGGTAGGCAAGCTTGACTTAGGCAGTATTTCTGCGCAACACTTGCAAAGGAACGCCCAAGTGCTTCGTATGTTGAGCGTGGTCTTGTGTAAGTTTTCCTTATTCTATGAAAAAACTCCTGTCACCATTCCTGTGAAGTACCTATTACTGGCATTATGTCGCAATCAAGGGTGATGGTGTGAAGGCAGCACGTGCACATTGACCGAGCATACTTGAAGCGGCCTGCTATCTGCAAGTTGAACGTGTACAGTTTACTTCCAACGCAGAACGTCGCTCTCGTAGCCACGTAATAACATCCATGTGTTGTGTTCACATCTTAACCCTCAATTGAAACAGGGTAATGCCACAAATTTTTGGCAGAAGCGTGACATAGTAGAGCTCCAATGATTTCTATACAGCTTGTTGACTTTAGGATGGATGAACATACGAGTAATGAAACAATCAATATCGAACAGATGTTGACAGTTCAGATAATTTCGGACTTATCACACTCAGCAGATATAAAGCAACCCTGTCGCACCGCTGCAGCTGTCCGATTGCACACAAAAAGTGAACTACCGCATTTTAACACCGCCGAGAATGGTCTTCCTGAGCTCATCTATTTCCTCCTGAAGGCGCTTGGCCTCAGTACGTAGGAAAGAGTTGCGCTTTTCGAGTCGTTCTTCCTCCTGAAATTCGATCTTTGTAGTGAAATTAGGCAAATAGAGTGGTAAACACGACGGAACTCCAATGCCATCAAAGGGAATTTCTCATTGACGGTCTTAATTAGTCGCGAACATGAAATTTGTAAGAAAACTCTGAGAGGAGGCTTATTTTCCCTTTTCATGACAAGGTGCATGCATTTTGGTTGCAAAAGGTACTATCGCCTTTGAAATCATATAAAAGTAAAAAATTGAGAGAAACGAATGGACTCAAGAGTAACAGTTCAAATACATGGAACTGGAAAAGTTCGGGGCCTGGAAATAGATAAAAAAGGAGAGCGTGTGAATGCAATAAGCTTCAGATGTAAGACGAATTAAGGCTGGCACACGTTAGATAATACTTTTATAACGACAGAGTGCAAAATGTTTTAAATCTTTGGCCGAAACGGCCAGAGAGGGAGATTTCCTGAAATCATATGTAAGGAGGAAATTTTCCTCTATTTAAGAAACTACACGTTTTGAAAACCAAAAGCTTCCACTTATACACTTCTTTGTAGGGTTTGTTGAAAATCACCATGAGGAAAACCTCTGCGCTTTTCAGGAAATGATTTTTCTAATTATTTTACAGAATTTTGGAGCGTTGAAAACTTTTAGGTTTCCTCTTGATCAAGTCATATAAAACACAGAAAAAATCTGCAAGTTATTTACTGAGCAATCATTGTAAAGGCGAATGGTAAGGAAACGAACGAAGCTATAGGACAAGTATGAACGGCAAGTCACTTTGTTCATTCTTTAATACCACAGAGTTATAATAACAACAAAACAGCAGCAGTAACACTCACTTCTTTCTCCGACTCTTTATAATTCCTTCTCTTCTCGCGATATCGTTGTGCGGCTGCTCTGTTCTGCTCTCTTTTTCGAGCGTTAATTTCTTCAATCGACAAATTTGCAAGTGGAATCCCAGGTGCTCGCTTAGGCTTCGGAGCACTCTACAATGAAGGATATCATGCTGGGATACGGTTGATTATTGATGATGTAGACGAAAAACCAATAGATCAACTAACCGCCGCAGTGGAAGCCTTTCTCTTCGCTCCAATTTTAGGCTCTTCTTTGACTTCTTGCAAAACCACTTTATATTCCTTTCCATCTACAGCGACTATTGTCACTGGGGAGTCAATGCCCAAAGTGATAACGGGAGGGGTGCCAGAAGCCTCACGAGTTTGTTTGGTGGGACTGGAGACAACCTAAAGATGAAAGTAACATTTCGAACAACACTGTGATGTAGTGAACTCCTGATGTCATTGATTTCCACTCCCAGAGATATACGTATATCGATATTCGTTACGTTTGATGGATCGAAAGCCCGTTATTATGGAATTTTCTCATAATACATTTCCTTGGTTCACAGTTCTAACAAATAACGCAACCCCAGGTGAATGTTACCAGGCCTCAAACAAAACTATGCTATTCCTCACTAATTGTGAAAGCGTTAGCGAGACGACGAAGCAACATCGATTTAAAGGATATGGAGCGAGGCGTTGAAAAGTAAAACTTGCCTTTTCTGCTTTAATTTCTGCCCTCACGCTTTCGTAGATGTTGTCAATGAATGAAAAATCAGGCTCCGTAGGTATATGAGGAGAAACTCCTGATGGAGATGCGGAAGAGCTGTTATCTGAAGTAAAAAGGTAACAAAACTGACGTACAGTGAATATACAGTCAGCTCTGAACATTGACCCCAGAGTGAAAACTAAAGCCTTCGGGTGATGATTAAATTTAAATAACGTATACAACATGGACGCTAACCTGACTGGCCATAAGTGATGTCATCTCCAAAGTCATCGATGTTCTTTGAAGAGATAAGGTGAGAGTAATCAAAGTCGAGGTCACTACTAGAAAAATCATATGAATCCCTGCAATATAGTTACTCCGCTATCTCATCCAACCTGTCAGCGATACTGGTAGCGTAGCTAGTGGGATATCCAAACGGTGATGAAGATTTTGCAACTGGCTGAGATGAACTGTATGGCGATGTATAGTTAGATGGATATTCATGATTATTGTCGTAGAAATGGGGGCTGTTGAGTTGATGACATTCTGCTGTATATTTAGAGAACGGCGATAATGAGCTGCAAAAATGAAACCATATTACAACAAAAATATATATTCTTACATAGGCAAACAAACCCACAGAGCTTAAGAAAAAACTGAGCCCGAATTCATCATTTACGCACGCGTAACATGCGCAAGTCCCTTTCGCAATTTTTTATTCTTCTTTGCGTACTAACCTGCTGGAGAGAACTGTTTCCGGAAATATAGCATGAAGAGTGTCCTGTGCCACAACAACCTCCTGGTCCGCAACCAAAACATGACGGGCAAGGGCTGGCCTTAAACATAAGCAGTTGCAAAGTGGTCAGAAGATGTTACGAATAATGAAGGGGTTCACATACGGGGGTCTCACGTGGCATAGGTGTGATGGCGAAGATTGGGCAGACAGCAGAGGTGGCGGTGGTGGCTTCGGCCCACTTAAAAACACGGTTTCCTCGTTTATCCAACGTGGTGGACCGTTGATTAACTGTTGATCGGCTGCAACGATCCCGCAGAGTGCATTCCTGCAAGATATTGAAGTGGAGTGCGAGATCAGTAAGAGTGACATCGAAGCAGGAAAGGACGAAGAAAAAGAAGGCCTATTAAGGTGAGTAGTACAGAAGATTCCATCGAAAATAATAAAGCTCACAGTGCGGTCGAGGATGGGTGCTTCTTCGTCGTCCCAAACACTCCACGATGTTAGGGTAGCGCTTGGCAGGAAAACATCGCAGGCGTTTCGTTGTTCAGTCTCGTCAAAAGTTAATATGTCGCTCATTCTGAAATGAGAACAACTCTGAAGTGACGTGATGGCGTAGAGCACTAACTTCCCACGAGAATGGAACCAACTGTCTGGTGAATTTTTTTGTAGATTGTCTAGTAGTAATACGAACTCTCAATGTTTAAAAGACTTTATACAATCGATTATTCTTTCGCTAACTCGTTAAATGGCAATATTTTATCATTAGTAACAAAAGATACTGGGTACTTTCAGACTCCACCGTCCGACCGGCCAACGACCTTCCCGGCCACGTGTTGACACANTAGACATCGATGGGTGGCGCCTTTACGGTGTTCTGCTTTCAGACTTCAACGACGCAACCGACTAACGCGCGCGTCCGATTAACGGCGGCGCTAGCTACTTATTGACAACACAGGCGCGTGATAAACCAGCGTCCAGAGTTGTCAATGCATAGCCAGCGCCGCCGTCGATTGGATCCGCGCCCGTCGGTTGCGTCGTGAAGTCTGAAAGCAGCCACTCACGCGGCTCTGACCGCAAACTGTCCTGCGTTTTCAGCAGTGGCCAGCAACCGACGAATCGATCGATCGGTCGGTGGAATCATAGCACATCGTTGGGCTTCGAAATTGAATAAAAATAAGCTTAAGATTACAGTAGTTGCTGTTTGTATGTAATGGAAGACTGCTACCGTGAGTGGAAATAAATAGCACCATATGAATGCACCAGACTTGATACAGTAATTCTCTAATTTGATTCGATAACGTACAATAAACAGCCACCAACTCACTTTTAATGTCAGGAAGCTTCGAAAGTCACGAAATTTGTCAAGTAGGCGTTGATCGCTGAAACGAAGATTGTAGGCTGACTGGTTTGAAGCTGCAACGGCTCTGAAAGACCTTATGTATTGGAAGTCTTCTATTCCTGCATGACATATTCACGTGACCATCGACCATGGCAAACGAACTTTATGAGAAAACCCACAAACACTACCTGACGTCTGCCAGAAATCGGTTTTGAGAAAGATTCCCCTAATTAACTGACAAGATGAATTAGCTCTAATCAAATGAATGTTCGCACGGGGATGAATCGGGTTACGGAAACGGGGCGAACTAGATTGGGCGCAGCATTCACATTCAACAACAGTCAGAATGGGTTTCAAAAAATGTCCCGTTATAACACAGCGGGTTCGAAAAAAGGACCGTAATTTTACGCGAAGTACGTCGTAGAAGAAGGCATAATGTCCGTGACCCTTCAACTGCACTTTATTTTACGGCTTTTGCTACATCTACCCGATGAAGAAGAATTTTTCCTATAGTAAGACATCAAAAGTGGGAATGACCATCTTAAAACTATGCAACGGTTTATGGCAAACATTACTAACAAATGTCTGGGGAGATTATGGCCTATATAAGCAATGAAGGCAGGAGAGAGCGATAATATCTTATCGGAGGTCGCGCTATGGCTTCATTTGCCCGCTTGCATGGTGACGCCATCCCCTAGCTAGAATCGATTCACTGAACTCCCTGAACTCTGAACGCTAAGACCTAAGGAGTAAAATTTGCTAAGGTCAGTTTGGCGGAGCGAAAGCGGCTCTGCTAGGATCTTGTCCTAGCAAAGCCAGGAACGTTGCGCAAGATGATGTAATAATAGGACCGGTTGGGGGCTATCGATCGAAATGCTAGAAGCTCCCTGGGGACTGGGAAAAGCAAGGGCGAAAAGCACTCGATTGAACAAAGATTCAGACAAGAATAATCAATCAATACAAGAAAATGTGCGATGAATGGGAGGTGGTAAATCGTGGGAGGCTGCAGTCGATTCAATGGATGGGAGAGGGCGACTGACGCAGCCGCCCACCCCAGGCCGCCTCGTCAGTCGGCGCGCCCTGCTCGATAAATGGGCGACAGCTGCAAACACGTAGTGATAATTTCCGTCCACGAAACTTGCTTGTTGGTACTTCAGTGAATGAAAAGCGCAAAGGGATTGTGTCCCTGATAGTCAAAGGCTAACTTTTTTTCAGTTCCACTTAAAATTGAGAATGCGGAAGTGAAGTTGGGAAGGGCGGGGGAGGCGCAGCTAGGCACAGGAAAGATGGGTAGCCGACCAGGGATAGAGCACAGGTTGATGATATGATCACCTCATAATAAATCTGGGTTTTTTAAAGAATTGGACTTTCACTTGATTCGCCCATCCCGGTGCACCTACCCTTCTAATTGTAAGGCTTATGTAAAAAAAAAACTTTTTCCGGCTAAGAAAGTGTACGAGCACCAACTAGCTCGCTAAGTCGACTATCCCTACTTCTCCGCGCTTAGCGCTCCATGTTGGAAGAGAGCTTTGTCGTCCCCCTTCCCCCACCCTCCCTCAACTACATTGTCACCCACCTTTCTAACCTTCCAATGGGGTAATATCTGCGATTTGCCACATGATGATGCACAGGCTATTTTGAGGCTAGAGATAATCCGATGATTGAAAACACCTTCTCTCTTCACTTGGGGCCAGGTTCAACCATCCCTTTCTTCATTGGAGACCTTTCAATCCGTATGAGATTGGAGAGGGTTCATATTGACCGATCAGTGGTTGAATAGTTGAAGAGAAGCAATAATCAGGGTGGCGCTCTAGTCAAATCAAATCAAATCATGAACTGACAAATCATGAACTCTACAATGCTAAGCATAGATGTACAGTATACCGCTGGTAACATCTTTATGTTCAAAATTCTGGAGTAAGTTGATACCCAGTGCAGTGTGCTACTTTGTCAGTTGAACCACTCCTACAATCCAAAAACGCAGAGCTTTGTAGGCAATCACAGTTCACCAGATGGATGTGCAGTATTGCGCTGTATCCTTGTGTACCCTCATGCTCCTGGTCGTCCATATTCGCTCAAACACAATCAATGGATCGGCGAACGATGCCAGCCGCCGGCCAATACGTAAGCTTCTGTAAAATTGTAAGTTACCTGATCAGTAGGTGGACTAATTGAACTAAGGAGAAAAGTCGTACAGCTAGCTATGTAGACTTCTCCAAAGTGTTCAGTGGAGAGTGAGCGAATTGAAAAAAGAGGGATTTATTTTCGAATTCAGGTATCCGTCATGGTTATGGTTTTCGGATACTCACTGCACCTCATCGAAGCGCAGAGTAAATTATTCTGAAGTTTCCAGATGAGTTCTTTTTTCAATTCGACACTCGAATATACTTTTAGCACTGAATTGTTTTAACAACTTGTTGACGAGCGACGATAGGCACATATTCTTGGACTTTCACAATGCAGTACGCAGAATAGTAGCTCTAGGGCGGCAACCCAATGTCGATGAGTTTCTACCGTCCGCCTCAAATATGTATAAGTTGGTGAGTGGCTTAGTTTAGAATTTGGCATTTGTTCACCTAAAATCGATTATTTATATAGCATTTGTTAGCCTATTTTCATCAGTGATCGATGTCCGCCAAGGTCAATCAAAACACTCATCCCTCCTGGGCTAATTGGTACCAGACTCTCCTGGGAGGATGAAACCACTGACTCGTACATTGGCTGGTCACCGCAGGTCATTATATAGGCTACATACGCGCTCATTGCGATTCTGAATGGAAGTCGAAGACAGGGGGTGCCTACATCAAGCGGGATATTAACACCTAAAGACTTTATCCCTTCTCTTCATTAGTATATTGTGCACAAAGGTGCTTGGTGCACAGTGTAAGAGAAGAATACATAAACCCAACCCCTATGAACGGCAAGTTGGATTAGTTAGTCTATTTAGAGGTCACAATGAAATCCTTCCACCCAACTTTATTACGCAGTAGTTCGAATCATATACATATACATTCAAGGTCTTCCCTATAGCAAGCAGTTCTCTTCTTCATGATGACAACAGATATCCTCCATTCCGTTTTAGCTCCTCTTTTTCCCCCCTACCGGTAACCCAGCGGGTCCAGTGTTCTTGAGCTAGATCTTCTTTCGAAAAACTGTCATGTAGATTTCCATTTCGTATTCATGCCATTACAATCTTGCTCCATCTCTTCAATTTGGATGTAATCACAGTTTGGCTTCCAATTGGATGGGGCCACTGTCACCGCCAGGAACGCTGTGATAACAACCCTAGCCGGGCGCGTGCGACCACTGCTCCATCTAGCCATGAGCATCCTCAATCGGGCCGTTCAAGATTCTTGTCCATAGGCCGGCGCACACTGCCGCTTAGCATCGCAATCCTTACCACTCTCCGTCAAAATCAGCCCTTGAAGAGGTTGTTCTGACGATAGCGTAGATCATCTATGGCCCTATCGTATTCATCCAGACCATGTTGTCATGGGATTTAATACCCAGAACCGTTCGCCATTTCGCTCATCCCGGCCTGGATTGACTTTATTTTTTTTCAAATCCAGAAATTTGGCCTTATTCCCCTTTACTCTAAGGCCAACCCTACAATTGCTTGCTACGAATTTTGTATATGCGCTTGGAATTCGTCTCTGTTGTTAGATACGTCGCCGCTGCCGAAGATGGTTCGAGCTGTTCAACAAAGAAATCCCTATGGTATCACCGCCTGATTAGATATGAGGTATTGTTGGTGCATCCCATGAAGTCTAACCCTTTAACCGGTTCGTATGGAGTCTTGTGGCTACTTAGAAGGCACAGGTCACGATAATTTTGGGTAATCCCGATTATGACAAAAGAAATGGAAGGTGAGATGGAAAATGGTGCGATTAAGGAGTAGAAACTGCCTGAATCAGTGTTTTCAAAATGGAAAAAGGGTTCGAAAAATCGTTAAAAAGGGGGCTGGACGAGAATGAGTCCAGAAAAATGAAGAAGAGTGGGGTGTTTGGAGTGGAGAAAGGAACTATACAATGTGTGTCATTGCATACGTGCGGGTCGTGGTGCGAATAGTTGACTACGGTAGGCAAATATTCATTCGCTCATAAGCCTAAGTTAAGAAAAAACTTAGTAATAGCAAAAACAGCCCACCTTTTCAGCTTTTCGGGGGTGGAAATTATATAAGAGATCGCGGCAGCAAAAAGAATAACGGAGGAAAAAAGATTGGAAGAAAAACATCGTC